GTGTCGTGCCTTTCTGTTGTCCTCTCAGTTATACCAGGCTGAAGCCTAGTGTCATGGCTTTCTCTTGTCCTCTCAGTTATACTAATTTGAAGCCTAGTGTCATGGCTTTCTGTTGTCCTCTCAGTTATACTAGGTTGAAGCCTAGTGTCGTGCCTTTCTGTTGTCCTCTCAGTTATACCAGGCTGAAGCCTAGTGTCATGGCTTTCTCTTGTCCTCTCAGTTATACCAGGTTGAAGCCTAGTGTCATGGCTTTCTCTTGTCCTGTTATACCAGGTTGAAGCCTAGTGTCATGGCTTTCTCTTGTCCTGTTATACCAGGCTGAAGCCTAGTGTCATGGCTTTCTCTTGTCCTGTTATACCAGGTTGAAGCCTAGTGTCATGGCTTTCTCTTGTCCTGTTATACCAGGCTGAAGCCTAGTGTCATGGCTTTCTCTTGTCCTCTCAGTTATACCAGGCTGAAGCCTAGTGTCGTGCCTTTCTGTGTCTCTCTTGCTTTTCTCGTGCAGCTTGAGACATAGACATGTTCATCATTTTGCAGGTTTTTATCTACTCCATTCATCCATTTCTTTCTGTGTCGTTTCCTCGCCTTTCCCTCAGATGTTCTAATGTAAAAAGTATCATATGCTGTCTGGTCTGCCTACATTCTTACATCGAAGGAGCGGGAGTGGGGGAGGGGGGGGGGGGGGGCTGCCAAAAGTAGTATAAACGTGTAGTAATACTGGGTGCTACATGGTCTCGAGACATGGCATCCGCATTGAGTGCTGGAGGTCTCCAGTTTCATACCCCGGTAAAGGCATGCATTTTTTCACATAGACTTCTAGTAATTTTCTCTGCACTCTGATTAGTAAAATCGGACGCCTGTGTGTATTTTTGGGTCAGTAAAATTCTCTTGGCAGTTTGAACTTGAAAAGAGTGGCCTAATGGGCTTCCCGGGCCAAATTTGGAGTTCAGAAATTTTCCCAAAGTATTTTCACTATCTTCGCACGTGCTACAGAGTTCGTTTACTACGCTGAGATTGTTCAGTCTCAGGCACTTACTCGGAGCACTTATGGGTTACCCCTTGTGCCATGATGTTGATCCGTTGTCTAAACCTAAACATTCTCTCTACTTGGCCGAAATATTTTATTCTTTGTCTATCATGATAACGCATGACTTGACAAAACAAGTCTCCCATGTGAGGTCATTATCAATCTGCTTATCTACAGTTTCATCCGGTCAGTGGTCAGAGAAGACGCTAGACGTTGAATATTTATGTAAGGCCTGAATGAAAAGCTTCGGACAGTACAACTTTGGATTTAGACAACCTTCGGCTGGTATTTATTATTGTTGTTAACTCAAACAAGGTCTTATGAGTGTTACTGACTCTTCGCCAAAATGTATTTACATTTTTAACGGTAGGAAACTCCGACACGTGCTCCTGCAGCGTGGCACCCGAAAATGCTGAGCATGTGCTCCAACACTGTCAACTGTATGCTGACATCAGAGACGTAATCTGGCCTGTTTCAGCCTCAATAAAGACAAGACTGTATGGTACCCCGGGATAGCTTTCAAATAGGCTTATGGCCTTCTGATATGTTTTCTGACAACGATCGAAGAAGAATAAGTAACTGACTGCTCACTTTCCTCAAAGACATATTGCAATTCTAGTGGCGGAATGTTGGTGCTGACATCTCTAGCAGTTACCACATGCGTTTCCTGGGTGCCCACATTTCTGGACATTGTCAGGACTAATGGTAGCTCATGTGTTTTCAACTGGAACTATGAGAGTCGTTTTCTAGTGATTCTATATCACTGCTGATGATTGATTGGGCATTAGTAGTAGTAGTACATTTTGCCCCTCTAGGACATCACACAAAGTGCCACCATGCGAATGAGGATCACCCGTGGAGAGGTCCCGGAAACCGCATTCAGCCATTAGGCCATATTGCGGTCCCTAGCAAGAGCCAGGGTGGGGCTTCAAAATAAGGAAACATTGCCTCTCACAAGGAGGTTTTATATTGATTTGGTAATAAGGATGAAAGCAAAATCCTGGGTGTACTAACTACAGTTCCTTGTGAGGATGTTTTATAATAGCGGCCATAAACGCAATTTAGAAAAATAAAATAACAAAATAATAAAAACTTATTATTGAACATAAAGAAAGAAAGGAAAAAAGGAACGAAAGAAAGAAAAAGAGAAAGAACGAAAAAAAGAGAAAGAAAGAAAAAGAGAAAGAAAGAAATATGTGAAAATATCTTAAATCAATATTGAAACATTTTAATTGAGTGTCATGGGAGGTAACTCGGGTTTGTAACAGCTATAACAATTTGACATGTTTAAACTCCCCTTAAAACCAGTGGAATCTATAGAGGATGGACTAATCAAGAAGAGGTGGATGAGGAATGGGAGGAGAAGGGGGAAAGGTAGGACGAGGAATAAGAAGTAGAAAAAAAAAATAAGAAGAGAAAAATCGAGAAATATAATTACAAGAAAATGCATGTTACAGTTTGATAACTCATTGCATACTGCAGTTTAAGCAAACAGTTTAAAAAAAAAAAAAAATTGAAGTCGAAAATGCTCTATTCATTGCACCGTTTTTTTCTTCAAATCTCATATGGTTCGATATGTCGCCACGTAACGGCTGTCATAAAGCACGAACTCCGTAGCTTGGGCGATGACCCCCATGAATATCCTTAAAACTGCACTCCTAAACCGAACGATGTGAGGCAAACTGCTTGCCACTTCACCACGGGAATTCCCTGAAAGGATCCGATGTAGGTCACGTGAAGACATGCGGGACATAAGGACCAAAATAAATTCATTCTAAAAAAAGTCTTCCTGAAGAGGTTTGAGTTTTTGAACAACAGATCAACATAATGGCACACGGGTAGAAACCCATAAGCGCTCTGTTCTTCTTCTAACTCAAGTATGAGTCCGAAGAAACTCAGCACAATGCACATGCTCTGTGTCACCGGCGGGGATCCTGAAATATTTTCGATAGATTTTTAGCTCCAAATTTTTGCCCGTGCAGAGCCAGGCATCCGATGTCACTACCCAGACACCAGGGGCGAATTACTAGAAGTCCAAGTCCACGCGAAAAAAAAAAAAAAAAACCAGCCTTTACCGGGGATTGAAACCTGAACCTCTAGAAATCGAGGCGGACACCATGCCTTGAGACCACGCAGCTCCCAGGTTTTTCTGAATTTCTCCTCCATTGACAGGACTGCTGATGGAGAAGTTGCTGATGCTTCAAACCGACCACGTTGACGGAGTCTCACGTGCCAGACATCGATACGAGTAAATCTTGTCTATAGAGTACAGGTCGGATACGTTGTAAACAAATCGCATGCGGCGTTAACTCACACGTGCATTATGTTGAGTTAACTCAAGCATTGACATGACATCACTTAGGGCGTTGTCACGCCTACTTTGTCCTTATCTTCAGCAGCCAGCGCAGAGTTCCAATACTGATGGTACCGGTCGCAATCTTGTTAAAAGTCTGTCTTGCCTTTCCTCTGAGTGTAGTGAGCCCAGTTACACCAAGTGCCTCATTCTGTCTAGGCCATAATAATCTCTTTCTCCACTGATTCCGCTGCTTGTTTCTCCACTGATTCCGCTGCTTGTTTCTCCACATATTCCGCTGCTTGTTTCTCCACTGATTCCGCTGCTTGTTTCTCCACTGATTCCGCTGCTTGTTTCTCCACTGATTCCGCTGCTTGTTTCTCCACTGATTCCGCTGCTTGTTTCTCTACTGATTCCGCTGCTTGTTTCTCCACTGATTCCGCTGCTTGTTTCTCCACTGATTCCGCTGCTTGATTCCGCGTTGCTTGTTTCTCCACTGATTCCGCTGCTTGTTTCTCCACTGATTCCGCTGCTTGTTTCTCCACTGATTCCGCTGCTTGTTTCTCCACTGATTCCGTTGCTTGTTTCTCCACTGCGCTGCTTGTTTTCTCCACTGATTCCGCTGCTTGTTTCTCCACTGATTCCGCTGCTTGTTTCTCCACTGATTCCGCTGCTTGTTTCTCCACTGATTCCGTTGCTTGTTTCTCCACTGATTCCACTGCTTGTTTCTCCACTGATTCCGCTGCTTGTTTCTCCACTGATTCCACTGCTTCTTTCTCCACTGATTCCGCTGCTTGTTTCTCCACTGATTCCGCTGCTTGTTTCTCCACTGATTCCGTTGCTTGTTTCTCCACTGATTCCGCTGCTTGTTTCTCCACTGATTCCGTTGCTTGTTTCTCCACTGATTCCGTTGCTTGTTTCTCTACTGATTCCGCTGCTTGTTTCTCTACTGATTCCGCTGCTTCTTTCTCCACTGATTCCGCTGCTTGTTTCTCTACTGATTCCACTGCTTCTTTCTCCACTGATTCCGCTGCTTGTTTCCAAAAAGCCTTGACCACATCTTCCTTGCTATCTATCAATTCACCACCCATTGGTGCAAATCCAGCCAATCACTACGCCGGCATAGCCTGGAGAAAAGACCCAAAGTATGCTCACTTAACAGTATTAAAAGTCTTCGGTTAGGCATCAGCAAACAAATCTATGTCAACGTTTTGAGAACATGTGCCTTCCTTGTAGCAACATACGGATGCGTGTCGTGAACTATTTCGCTGTCATTAAGGAAGAAATTATGGGCTTTTCAGCTTCAATAAAATGGAGTATTCTCAGAATACCATGAACCAAGGGAAAAAGAAATACTGGCTTCCTAACAGATCTGGATATCAATGAAGACTGACTACTAAACATAATCTTGAAACAGAAAATATATTTTAACCATATCAATCGCAGCCTCGGATTGGAAACAACGGTAGCAGAAGATATGATGCCAAGAGAGAGGGGCAGGGACCAAGCAGCATGAAGATGGGCTTAGGAGAATGCATGAGGTGAGAGCATCTGGCAAGAGGCTGGGTTTATTTCATCTGGACCGTGACGAGAGCGACGTTCTGCAACGGAACTACTACATGACGACGACGACTATCATGATGATGATGATGATGATGATGATGACCACAATGTTGATGATCACACATGCGTCTCAGTTGCCGACTGGGTCACCTCCTGGAGATTACAGCCTAATGAACATGCACGCTTCTGGAACAATCCATTGTGGCAAGATTTAAACGTCAGCATCCTCTTGACTTCGTCTCTGAAACGATCAGATGTAAAGCTGTAAATGATAGGATTAGCGACGTTATTCACCAGCGGACTCAGTTTGGCTAGATCGTAGAGGGCCTTAAAAGAGGGGCCCATATCTCCGACTATAGAAATATCAGGTATGGATAAAACAATAGCCACAAAGTAGAGGCTGTAACTCGTGAAAAACACCACAGTAATGGCGATGAAAACCAAAGCGGATTGTTTCATAACGTCGCTTTGTGTTTGTCCTGTAGTGGTTTCAGGTCTTCTAGAAATGGAGTTCGTATGTCGCATTTGATCATGTTTTGTTGATAGTTCTCGTAGAGTTTTTATTATTTTATAATAAATCACGAACAGAGTTGTGAAAACAAACAGAAAGATCAATCCCAGGATGCAAGTGTAGATAAGAAAGATGGTTGTCTGGTCGCTTCCGGGGGTGATGAAACAGTGAGCGATCTTGACCTTGTAGCGTTGGAAGGACACCACGCCTTTGCCGAAGATCCAGCCACAGGGAATGTTGATGATTCCGGAGAGGAGGATGCCGGCGGCCGAGAGCTTCTTGACCAGGCCCGTCTGCACACCGGATTTCCGGAGAAGGCACAGTCTCATGAATCTGAACAGAGTGAGTAGGGGGATGATAAAAACATTATATCAGAGTAGAAGATATAATATCTTTTTGAAAGTATCAATACATTAAACACATGTGGCGTCATTACCATCATCATCATCATCATTATCATTATCATCATTATCAACATCACCACTACCACCATTATTGCTATCCCCACCAGCACCAACTTCTTCTTCTTCTTTTTCTTCTTCTTCTTCTTCTTCTTCTTCTTTTTCTTCTTCTTCTTCTTCTTCTTCTTCTTCTTCTTCTTCTTCTTCTTCTTCTTCTTCTTCTTCTTCTTCTTCTTCTTCTTCTTCTTCTTCTTCTTCTTCTTCTTCTTCTTCTTCTTCTTCTTCTTCTTCTTCTTCTTCTTTTCCTCCTCCTCCTCCTCCTCCTCTTCTTCTTCTTCTTCTTCTTCTTCTTCTTCTTCTTCTTCTTCTTCTTCTTCTTCTTCTTCTTCTTCTTCTTCTTCTTCTTCTTCTTCTTCTTCTTCTTCTTCTTCTTCTTCTTCTGCTTCTTTTTGTCGTCCAAATATATTCTTAGATTCAACCAGACCTTTGGGGTGTGAAATATCAGGCCTTCACAAATTCTAGACCACAGTTAATGAGATGTGGTTGCTGGTGTCCTTCCTCCCGCCATCCTCCCCCACACAATCCCCCGCACATATTTATGAACATTGACCATCCTGTAGTGGGCCCTATTTGTCCTCTCATCACTGAGGATTGAACCTTTACCAGTCTCGACTGACCTATGCACTATCCACTACACTATCAGCATTACAAAATCTTGTAGATTTCATGGCTAAACAAGTACCTTAGTGTGTAGTGCACTGGATACGAAGATGGATGAAGACAGCTGAAGTACTAAAAGAATAGAAGTGCCGATCTTAAAACACAAATTTTGGCATGTTTTTAAATTGTAAAAAATCAGGGAAGGTAAGTTAAAAGGAAATAACTGGGAGGGGTTTATGGGAGACAAGGCATGATGGGTGTTGTCGGGGATCTCTATTGGAGTGGCGGAACTTAGAGTGGAGTTCTTTGAGTGGGTGAATAAACGTGGAGTCGATGGAGTGACAAATGGACGAGCTGGTGATGGGGGATTAGAAGTGAAACTGAGAGGGTAGGGAGTCGAAAGGACCACTGATGGAGTGAGGAGAAATAATGAAGGAAGTTATGAAGTGGGGGAATAGAGAGTAATACTAACTGAATGAGGGAATAGAGAGAACAATTGATGGAGTGGGGAATGAAAAGTGCAGCTTGCGGAGTAGGGAATGGAGACAGGAACGCGTGGAGTGGGGAATGGAGAGAAGAACTGATGGAGTGAGGAAAAGATGCAACTTTTTACGGTTTCGAACGCACGACTCTGGGTTCAGCTTCTCTAGCCTCTACACCATTGTTTCTTTAAATCGATTAGCCAGTCTGTCCCCTTTGGGCTTCTACCTAAAGGTCTACCATACCATGGTCAGAGGGAGTCGCCGTGGTGTAGTGACTAGACGCTCGCGTGAGGGTCGGAAGGTCGTAGGTTCGCTCCCTGGCAGAGCCGGACGTTTTTCAAAAATGACCTCGACGCCGAGGCCAATCCAGCCTTGAGTGGGTATCGGGTGCAGTCCAAGGAAGTAAAGGCAGCCGGCGTGATGCTGACTACATCGCCCATCTTGTGCCGATTGGTCTATAAAAATTTAGGTCTAGCCCTATATGCCCTATACGCCTAAAGACGTGGAAAGTGTCCTTCACTTGTACCAGTCACATTTGTAAATCTTAGTGTGGACGACAGACCAACAAGACATACAGCCCGTTCAACCTCCAGGGAAGTTGTAACTAAGTCACCTGTGACGACTGCACCAGTCGGATAGGGACGTGACGCCACTGCGGATGTGAAGATGCTCCACCTACTTGTCTACAGTGATGATGTTAAGGTGCTCCCCCTACCTGTCTACAGCGATGATGTGAAGGTGCTCCACCTACCTGTCTACAGTGATGATGTTAAGGTGCTCCCCCTACCTGTCTACAGTGATGATGTGAAGGTGCTCCACCTACCTGTCTGCAGCGATGATGTAAAGGTGCTCCACCTACCTGTCTACAGCGATGATGTAAAGGTGCTCCACCTACCTGTCTACAGCTATGATGTAAAGGTGCTCCACCTACCTGTCTACAGCGATGATGTAAAGGTGCTCCACCTACCTGTCTACAGCGATGATGTAAAGGTGCTCCACCCACCTGTCTACAGCGATGATGTGTACTCTACCTATGTCTGCAGCGATGATGTGAAGGTGCTCCACCTACCTGTCTACATCTGTCTGTCGACAGTGATGATGTAAAGGTGCTGTCTGCAGCGATGATGTAAAGGTGCTCCACCTACCTGTCTACAGCGATGATGTAAAGGTGCTCCACCTACCTGTCTACAGCGATGATGTAAAGGTGCTCCACCCACCTGTCTACAGCGATGATGTAAAGGTGCTCCACCTACCTGTCTGCAGCGATGATGTGAAGGTGCTCCACCTACCTGTCTACATCGATGATGTGAAGGTGCTCCACCCACCTGTCGACAGTGATGATGTAAAGGTGCTCCACCTACCTGTCTACATCGATGATGTGAAGGTGCTCCACCCACCTGTCTGCATCGATGATGTGAAGGTGCTCCACCTACCTGTCTACAGCGATGATGTGAAGGTGCTCCACCTAGCTGTCGACAGCAATGATGTGAAGGTGATTCACCTACCTGTCTACAGCGATGATGTGAAGGTGATTCACCTACCTGTCTACAGCGATGATGTGAAGGTGATTCACCTACCTGTCTACAGCGATGATGTGAAGGTGATTCACCTACCTGTCTACAGCGATGATGTGAAGGTGATTCACCTACCTGTCTACAGCGATGATGTGAAGATGATTCACCTACCTGTCTACAGCGATGATGATGAGGACGCAAGCGGAAGCCATGGCCGTCTCCAGGGCCACAAAGGCCGTGAAGATGCAGGTGAACTGGAAGGAAGCGGTGTCCGGGTGGAGGGTCATGTACACAAGTGGAGGGTAGACCAGCAGTAGGGAGGTCAAGTCTAGCGCTGCCAACATCTGCAGATCAGAGGCAGGATACAGCTACCAGTTGAATGAATTAATGAATGAGTGAACTTACATTACTGCACTCGGGATATTCACACACGTGCTCCATCTCCTTTATCAGTAGGCAACGAAGAGTGTATGTACGCTAATAGTACCAGTTACAACCTGATTAAACGACTGCCAATGTCTTCCTCTCGAGTGCTGAATATTTTTCAGTACCTCCTCTCCTCGCCCCCTCCTCCCCAACCCCCCCCCCTCCCCGCCCCCTAATTGAATTTGTCTTTCAATATACGGATGTTCTGTCTGTTATATTGCACTTTCCAATGAATCCCTGGGGTACCGTAGGCGGGTGTATAAGTCGTGTAGATGTCTGGGAGGTGGCATTGTATTTAGTGATCTATCTTACCAGACGAGGGATCTGGGTTCAAATTCTAGTAATCAGGATCCTTTATACGCTTTTAGTCGTATTAGGCATATAGGGTTAGAAGTTAAGACCAGTCAGCAATGTGTGGGTGATGTGGACAGCAGTACACCCCCACCCCACCCACCCCCATCCCCCTTTCCGAACTTTAACTAGTACTCATTAAAGGCTGGGTCGACCTGGTAATCGGGTCGACCTGGTAATCGGGTCGACCTGGTAATCGGGTCGACCTGGTAATCGGGTCGACCTGGGTGTGGATCGACCTGGGTGTGGGTCGACCTGGGTGTGGATCGACCTGGGGGCGGGGTGGACCTGGAAGCCAGGGTCATTTTTGAAGAAAAAAAAATCGACTACGTGAGGACATGAACCCAAAACATTCGGATCCACAGGCCTGACTCGGTGGCGCTTCCAAATCCTAGCAATGACAACAATTATTGTTGTTCCTGCCGTTAGCGTTGCTTTCACTCCTTCCGTATTGTTATTATCATTTTTATTATTATATGGTTGTCGTTGTCTTTAGCATCATCATCACGCTAGTCATCGCCATTCAACATTCTAATTGTCATTTATGTTATTGTCCTTGTCATACAAACCACCACGACGTCGCAAAAATCATAGTCATTGTAATATTATTGGTAAGGATAGTCACAATAATAGTCTTAATAATAGTCATAATAATAGTCATAATAATACAAAAAGTGTAATCACATATACAGTGTTCAAGCGAGAATAGATTTTTTTCTGCCAGAAACAAAATAAAATCCTCATCTGCACAGCCGTGGCGACAGCACTAGCCACTAGGCCGAAAATCCTCAGGCTGAAAGCCCCCCCCCCCCCACTCCCCCTTCCCCTTTTTTTTACACCGCAAAAGTGGTATAATAAAGGCTGTATTTGGCAGTTTACTATTATTCTTTCAGATCAATTGTGTAAAATCCCAAACGTGTTCAAATATTTATTTCCTCTTTCTATGGAACTCGCCAAATCAAGAATTTTGACCTGAATTTGTTGACGCTCCATTGCCTAGAGAACCAGTGGCTCCAGCCTTCCATGTCTAGCAATACAGCTTTTCTCAAATGGGCATTTCTTGTCCATGTTGCCTGCAGTATAACATCGATAACACTGCTGTCAGTGATTTTGCCCAGAAATTCTTCAGCCAAGTCACAAACACCTACAAAGAAGGCTTCAGAAAGTTTCCACGCTGATTTCTTTATGCGGACCAGTGGCGTCTGTGTTCCGACTAGCCATTCGGCAACACGTCTCTCATTCTACGATCGGAACAATAGCTTTTTTCAGAATAGTGCTTATATTTTAGAGCTCCTATTGATAATGCCAGGGCTTACTTTTGTTAGCAAAACTGTGGTTCTCGAGAAAACAAACACGTTCAGAGATGAGCGTCTGAAATCCCTAATTCCAATTGTGGAAGCCATTTCTTTTCGTAAGCGGGTTTTGCCAATGTATTACTTATTTAATTAGCATTTGTTATTCAGTTTGCTTTTTCTTTATAAGCAATACAATATATCCAGTTTTATTAGAAAGCACCGCTGGAACTACATCAGCCATGCCCTCAGAATGGAGAAGACAAGACTTCCCTATCAAGCCCTCATATGGACACCGAAAAAAAAAAAAAAAAAAACCAGGAAGATCAAAAGAGACTTCGTAGAACCATCATCAGGGAAGGCTCAACCATGGGCCTGCAAACACCCAAGACCTAAAGCAGGCGGCAGCCAACCGCTAGACATGGAGAGCTATGACCTCTGCCTTAGGCGCGGCACTAGTTTCAAGAGGAAAACCTATTTATTTTATTATAAATCTCTGGAATTTACTATATGCTTCACACGAATTTACCTTCTTGATAAGTGTGACGGTGGAACTACGCCACCTGAAGTGATAGATGTAAAGCACTAAGAGATTTCCCACAATCCCTGTGACCATCATGATAGGAATGACCACTAGTTCTGCGCCGTGCCATGTGAAGAGCTCGCCTCCCTTCCACGTCTCGTTGATCGTTTGAGGATCGTCTGACATTATATATCTCTGAGCCGAAGACATTGGATCATTGTATCATGTCAGGTTTCCTGGGGAATATAAGAGGATTTGATTATTGTATCATGTCAGGTATCCTGCGCAATAAAAGAGAATTGTATCATTGTATCACGTTAAGTTTCCTGGGGAATAAAATATGGATCATTGTATCATGTAAAGTATCCTGCGAACAGTTTATTGAACCATGTTTGATAATCTGGGAATGAATGAATCAAGAACTGGCATCATTGCACTCGGGACATTCTCATACGTGCAGTGTCCCCTTCTTTAGTAGCCAACGAAGAGTCGAGGTGCTAAAAGTGCCAGTTGCAAGCTAAATAAAAATCCGCCAATGTTTTCTTCTTAGTGTTGAATATCTTCTATAACCTCTACTCACACCCTTTCCTTTCATTCACCAGATTAGTCTTTCATGTACGGATTCCCTGTCTGTTCTATTCTACTGTCTATTTGATCCCAGTGAACCCTCACAACGTCTGCTTCATCATATAGTAGCTCACTGCCCTGATAAGCGGCAGCATCAAATCTATCAGCTTGCTAGTTACCTCGTACACCTGAATTTCCTTGATAGAAAATCCATGATATGCCCCTGAACTGAGGCTTGTCAGGTAATGTATGCCACTCTGGGGGATAGATCGGGACTGAATCATTGTAGCACTTCAATATCTTGGGGATAAATCAGGACTGAATCATTGTAGCACTTCAATATCTTGGGGATAGATCAGGACTGAATCATTGTAGCACTTCAGTAACTTGGGGATAGATCAGGACTGAATCATTGTAACACTTCAATATCTTGGGGATAAATCAGGACTGAATCATTGTAGCACTTCAGTATCTTGGGGATAGATCAGGACTGAATCATTGTAACACTTCAATATCTTGGGGATAAATCAGGACTGAATCAGTGTAGCACTTCAATATCTTGGGGATAAATCAGGACTGAATCATTGTAGCACTTCAATATCTTGGGGATAAATCAGGACTGAATCATTGTAGCACTTTAGTATCTTGGAGGTAGATCAGGACTGAATCATTGTAGCACTTCAGTATCTTGGGGATAAATCAGGACTGAATCATTGTAGCACTTCAGTATCTTGGGGATAAATCAGGACTGAATCATTGTAGCACTTCAATATCTGGGGGATAAATCAGGACTGAATCATTGTAGCACTTCAATATCTTGGGGATAAATCAGGACTGAATCATTGTAGCACTTCAGTATCTTGGGGATAGATCAGGACTGAATCATTGTAGCACTTCAGTATCTTGGGATAGATCAGGACTGAATCATTTTAGCACTTCAATATCTTGGGGATAGATCAGGACTGAATCATTGTAGCACTTCAGTATCTTGGGGATAAATCAGGATTGAATCATTGTAGCACTTCAGTATCTTGGGGATAAATCAGGACTGAATCATTGTAGCACTTCAGTATCTTGGGGATAGATCAGGACTGAATCATTGTAGCACTTCAGTATCTTGGGGATAGATCAGGACTGAATCATTGTAGCACTTCAGTATCTTGGGGATAGATCAGGACGGAATCATTGTAGCACTTCAATATCTTGGGGATAAATCAGGACTGAATCATTGTAGCACTTCAATATCTTGGGGATAGATCAGGACTGAATCATTGTAGCACTTTAGTATCTTGGGGATAGATCAGGACTGAATCATTGTAGCACTTCAATATCTTGGGGATAAATCAGGACTTAATCATTGTAGCACTTCAATATCTTGGGGATAGATCAGGACTGAATCATTGTAGCACTTCAATATCTTGGGGATAGATCAGGACTGAATCATTGTAGCACTTCAATATCTTGTGGATAGATGAGGATTGGATCGTTCCATCATGTTTGATAACTAGCGCATGATAAGGGAATTAATTCGTTTTATAATATTAGGTAGCCGGGGGAGTAGATGAGGAATGGATCACTGTATCGTGTTAAATATTCTAGATAGTACAAGATCACTGGATCATTGTTTCATTAGATCCTCTGTGCAATAAGAGCAGATCGGATCATTGCATCATGTTAGATAACCCGGGGTAATAAACAGACAGACAGATTGGCTGGATCTGCACCACTGGGTGGTTAATTTATACATGACATGGCAGATGTGGTCAATGCCCTTTAGGAACAAACAGCGGAATCAGTAGAGAAAGAGGATTTTTATGGCCTGGAGCAAATAAGGCACCTGGGTGTAACAAGAGGGTCTAGCAGGCTTACTACACTCAGAGAAAAGGCAAGACAGACATAAAACCAGATCGTGACCGGTACCATCAGTGTTGGAACTCTTGCGCTGGCTGCTGGAGATGAGGACGGAGCACGCATGGGAATGCCGCGAGTGCTGTGATGTCAATTCTTTACTCAACTCAACTGAACATAACATGGGGAATTGAAGATCACTGGATGATCATCATCGCCACCACTACCACCACAATCATCATCATCATCTGCAGCATCATCATCATTTCTTTCCTTTTCTTCTTTTTTTCCTCTTATTTTTCTTCTTCTTCTTCTTCTTCTTCTTCTTCTTCTTCTTCTTCTTCTTCTTCTTCTTCTTCTTCTTCTTCTTCTTCTTCTTCTTCTTCTTCTTCTTCTTCTTCTTCTTCTTCTTCTTCTTCTTCTTCTTTTTCTTCTTCCTCCTCTGCATCTTCTTCTTTTTCTTCTTCTCCTTCTACTTCTGGTGCTGTTGTTGCTACTGTTGCAGCTTCTGTTACTCTTTTCTTCTACTTTTCCTTCTTTTTCTCCTTCTTCTCCTCCTCAAAGTGTCTTCCGCCCTCTTATCTCAGCTCATAATCAAAACTATTTCTATTTCTCACCGTCTCCATAGAATTGCTTTATCTGTTTCACAAAGAGCCCCTTAGCCAAGGACGTCACCAGACACCACACTAGACTTACGTATAGTTCAAGAATGACATAAACTCCATTAGCATGCGACCAGACACAAAGTTAGAGAGAGGCTGAGAGACAGCGATAGAGCGTGGGAGAGAGAGAGAGAGAGAAAAGAGACAGATGGATATACGGAGAGCGAGAGAAGGGAGAGAGAATTAGAAAAATGAAAGACACAGTTATGGAAAAGGAGAGAACGAACAAATAAGAAATGGTGAGAGATAATGATGAAGCCTCTCCCATCCCAAATACTTTTCAGTAGAAGCTCAACTGCCCACCCGCCCCCCCCCCCTTTCTTTCTCCTTCCCCCATCTCCCCTCGCATAGACAATTTACATGAAGCTACCTCCCACCCCACCCCCGTCCCACTTCCAATAAGTGGACGTTCTTCACACAATGTTTCATGACTGTCAAATATATTATTACACTGTGGGGTAGTGGCTAGTCGCTTGGTTTCTAGACCTTGGTTTCTAGGGTAACCCAGCCGGGTATCGGTAATAGGTTAAATCGTGGAAAGGAAATGTAGTGGGCGTCATTATGACCACATCCCTCATCAAATGCCGTTTGATCTCTCAAATATAAGTCTAGCCCTACATGCCCAATACACGTAAAGGCATGGAAACAGGTCAGTTGTCAACACTGAAGAGAGATGGAAGATGAACATATACTGTTCATATACTGGACATATACTGGACATATTCTGGACATATACTGGACATATTCTGGACATATACTGGACATATACTGGACATATACTGGACATATACTGGACATATTCTGGACATATACTGGACATATACTGGACACATTCTGGATATATACTGGACATATACTGGACATATACTGGACATATTCTGGACATATTCTGGAAATATACTGGACATATACTGGACACATACTGGACATATACCGGACACATTCTGGACATATACTGGACATATACTGGACATATACTGGACATATACTGGACGTATACTGGACATATACTGGACATAAACTGGACACATTTTGGATATACTGGACATATTCTGGACATATACTCGACATATTCTGGACATATACTGGACATATACTGGACATATACTGGACATATACTGGACACATACTCGACATAAACTTGACATATTCTGCACATATACTGGACATATACTCGACATATTCTGCACATATACTGGACATATACTCGACATAAACTGGACATATTCTGAAAGGAAGCAGACAAATCCACAGAAACTAGGCTCTGCATATACAGACAAACTGATTCAAGAAGTCAGGACGCCTAAAAATAATTTTACGACGAACGGAGATGCCAGAGGCTCAAGCTACTCGACTAGGCTCCATCCGTGATATCGAGAGATTTTTCAAATGATCCCTTATGACGTATCTTCTTTTTTTATCCTTCTTCGCGTTCTCTCTCTGGAAACTCTGGCGAAAATTTCTGGTTGTTCGTCCACTTGTGGTTTTTACTCTCGCTCCAGAGCTTGCATGTGTGCACATCCGTTTTACAGATCTGTTTATTTGTGTGCATACTGTGGGTTAATTTATGACTTGACTGATTCCCGCGTTGACTGAATCATCAATTGATAGATTTATAATGTAATTAAAATATTGTTTTATGGGACTTGAGGCGGACTGTTGCTTTAAAAAATAAAATATTTTTTTATGAGTTTTGCTAAATCACTCGGGTTCAACTTGGAGGCGAGCTGCAAACTGTTGGTTCCTCGTCTCCCAAGCAGATACATTCTAACTTCGATGGAAACACCGCTAATTTGTAGCCTTCTACGACATGCCTGTTGGCAGGCAGTGGGTCTATTCTGTCTTTCCCTAAAATGTCGCTTCGAGACCCATAGGAGGATTCTTTGACGTATAAAAGCGCAACACGGTGATGATGATGATGTTGGCGATGTATCTAACACTCAAGATTATGCCCAACTATCTTACATATTTGTTCTTTGAAGCAGTATACAGAGGCCAAAGGTTACGTCAACAAAATTTAAAAAACAAGACAAAAAAGAAGCAACAGCCGACATGCGGCGCTGGTAGTTGTTTTCACATCTGGAAGCAAGCTTATCTCATCTTCTTCATCTAAGAATATAAATTGCATCTGTCTGTCTTTCTGTCACTTGAAAGGCGAATGAAACAAACAACTGCAACATCATTTGATCATCAAACACTGTTTGTGTTAATAAACACCACATTTCGACTGCTTTTATTTCCAGCCGCCAACCTAACCTTGCGAGATCGAGTAAATAATGATGCGATCAGACATATTGTAAGAACGAAACCTTGCACTAGATTCACCAAAAAGCAGCAGATCAAGTAGTTTTAGTAGTCTCGTTAGAGTGCAGCAACACAAGATACCACCACAGGCATTACATCTCAGAAGATCAGCTACATGAGGACGGTAGCAAAAACATGGATCGACAACATTAAAAACACTCTACGCTTTCACGGCATGACAAAAGACCGTGGCAGCCAGCGTACACTGGATTGCAAATTATACCTCCCCACGGCGCTTAGCGGCAGGAGTTGTTGTTATGATGATGATGAAGCTGATGATATTTTAAGAGGAGCGGTGGCCGGGCCGTTAGAACTTTGAGCTTTCAGGCGGGAGACCTTGGTTAAAATCCTTTGTTCTCGTGTGGGTTCCAGGGCCCCATTGTGGGGGGTGGGGGGGGGAATAGACCCACCGCCTTACCAGCAAGCATGCCGTAGGAGTCGACTAATTGGGGGCTCCCTTCTAAGTCTGAGTGCATCTGCTCAGGAGGCAAGCAACCAACAACAGTCAACAACAAAAAACAAAACAACAAAGCACTCAGGGCATTGCCATAAGCACACAGTCCCTATCTTTAGCAGCCAGCGCAGTTCCAATACTAATGGTACAAGTAGCATTCTGATTAAACGTCCGTCTTGCCTTTCCTCTGAGCGTCTAGCATCTGCCATAACCTCTCGTCACTCCCCGCTGCATCCTCCCCGCTGCATCAATCTCACCAGACTGTGGTGATCCATCGGCTCCTCCGAACTGTACACGCTTTCCCACAAGGCACTAACCACGTCTGCCTTATCATGCATCAATATTCTCCCAAACTGTGCAGACCCCGCCAGTCTGTCTGCTTGTTTATTTCCCAACACACCGGAAAAGATCCAGACATCGTTATTTTTTAATTATATTTTACTGAAAAATCTTATTTTGTGTGTGTTAGTTTAATCTAAATAAACAATTTTTATTTTTATTTTTACTCTTTCGGTACCAACCAGCACAGCAAACGTTTCTGGATCTTTGCAGAGATAATATAATGTTTTATCATAAACAGGTCTCACATTCAATTCTTCAGTGGGAATTATTAGTTTAACTACTTATGTCCTACAGGATCTTTACTGAACACCATCAGACCTGGGTATTTAACTATCGTAATCTCCGTATGATAAACGATAATCTCCCCACGGTACACACTAGCTCACTCCTGATTGGTCGACCTCCAGTCACTCGACCTTTGCACACTGCTAGAGGAATTTTCGGCAATGCGTTTATATCGCGTGTTGTATATTTAAGCACGTCAGCGCTTTTAACACTAAAAACCATTTAGAAACTGGGTCTAGCAAACAATCCCACCCCACCCCCATCCCTTCCAGATAGTCATGCAACCTATGTCAAAGGCATTCTCTTTCTCGGAAGAAAAACGTAAATGCCAGACAACCCAGAAAGGACACCATAGCCGTAACCCCCAGGACAGCAGGCGACTCTAAAAAATGTATCAATGGAAGGCGACCTAATTCGGCTGGGGAGATGATCGTGGATCACACCGTAATCTCAACTCCTTGGAACAGAAAAGGTTACAGTAACAGGTGTTTGAAACTGAGAGTTAACGAATGTGATCCCGGGTCTCTACACCTTTGTGAAATGAGGTCGCCACTCGGACAGTGTTGGGAACCGCTGGTGAAAACATACAACGAACATTAAAGAACAGAACTGACTTTGATCGATTTCATGTTCTGTTCTGCCAATTCTGATGTACTGCAGTAACATGTGGCATGTGAAAGAACATACTGGAAACAGACAAGAGACAAGGGTTACAAATGAAGCGAATAACTTCAGCAGCTGGAGTAAATAACATTTACACGGGTACAGTTAATCAAAGTCCGACACAACCGCTTATGTAGGTATAGAGGGGAACAAGACAGTACGTCATGATTTTGAAACCCAGGCCTTGCAAACCCGAGTGGTCCAGTAGATAATTACCTCATGAATCAACCAAATTATGAATCATCATTCAATGCCAGAAACTGAATCGCAAGATAGGAATTTCTAGTAAATGGAAACAAACAAAGAATGCCCACAGGGACACACGACCACAGAAAGCACAGGCCCTAACTAAAGCCCCACAAGTGTATTGATTCTGGCAGGCAACGAACATTAGACGCTGGACAGAAGCTGGACATTGGAAGTGCATTAGTTCTAGACAAAGGTCCAAGCGTCCATCTGTGCCTGTGTGCTAGCCGACTCAGTGATAACAGTTTGTTTCACAAAGACTATTTTTTTGTTGGTATAGCCATTCAGCGATCACTAATACTTCTACTGCTCCTGCTGCTGCTGCTACTACTACTATTATTATTATTACTGCCGCTGTTGATGCCGCTGATATTGCGGTTGCTGCTGCTGCTGCTACTACTACAACTACTACTACTACTACTGCTGTTGCTGCTGCTGCTGCTACTACTACCACCACCACCACCACTACTTCTACTACTACTGCTGCTGCTACGGCTTCTGCTGCTCCTAATACTACTAATACTGCTGTTGCTGCTACGATTAATATTACCTCTACCACCACCACCGCTACTACTACTACTACTACTACTACTACTACTACTACTACTACTACTACTACTACTACTACTACTACTACTACTACTACTACTACTACTACTACTACTACTACTACTACTACTACTGCTGCTGATGCTGCTGCTGCTGCTGCTGCTGCTACTACTACTACTACTACTACTACTACTACTACTACTACTACAACAACTACTACTACTACTACTACTAGTACTACTGCTGCTGATGATGCTGCTGCTGCTACTACTACTACTACTACTACTACTACTACTACTACTACTACTACTACTACTACTACTACTACTACTACTACTACAACTACTACTAGTACTACTGCTGCTGATGCTGCTGCTACTATTACTAAGATTGAACCTTGCTTGTCTACCGTCCAGATTAACATTTGTTATCTCAGGATAGTTGGGTCAACCTTGAGGTGTCACCAGTGGGTCAACCTTGAGGTATCACCAGTGGGTCAACCTTGAGGTGTCACCAGTGGGTCAACCTTGAGGTATCACCAGTGGGTCAACCTTGAGGTGTCACCAGTGGGTCAACCTTGAGGTGTCACCAGTGGTGTAGCAAGATCAGTTGGTACCCAGGGTGGTACATTTACTGTAACCCCCCCCCCCAACCCTTCCCCACCTCCTTTTTTTGGATCAATTACCCATCAAAGCGGTAATTTTTTTATTCACTTCCAACGGAATTTCATAATTTACATCAGGCTCTGAGGTCGACCTAGTGTGAACTAGTTTTAAATTATTCTCTTTTCTTCTGTCCTTGATCCCCACCAGTGGAGCATAGGCCCCCAACCAACTCACGCCAAGTCGTGCTATTTTTCGCTGTGATATGAAGCTCACCTCATGTCCTCTCTTCCTTCTTAACTTCACTCTCTAGTTCTCTTTCTGCGTGTGTTTCCCTCTGTCGTTTCTTTCCTGAAATCATCATCAATCGGCTTTACACAACGTCGCTCTCGTCACGGCTCGCCTGAAAGTCTCTCTTTCTCTGGCCAATTCTCCAGCCCCATGTGCTTTCATAGTCATCTTCAATGTCCTGTATCCACGTTGGCGGAGGTCGGCGTTGGCCTCGTTTTCCGGAAACTGTGCCCTTCATCCCCGTTCTCTCCAGACCACCGTGACGTTTACCAAGGCGAAAATAGCTTAGCTTCTGGGACAGGCTGTGGTTTGTCAGCGAGTTCTTTTTTCTGAAACAGGTATTAAGAAATGTCTTAGAAAGTAAAGACAACCCTCGTGAATGTCACAGCATCGCAGATCAAGTACAGAGTAGTCTATCAAAATGTAGGATTAGCAATTTAAAGATCCGAAAGTAGTGAGTTTAGATCCTGACGGTGCGGGACATTTTTCAACAATGACTTTGGCTCCCAGGTCGACTCAGCCTTAAATGGGTAC